ACATCTGTTTTTTATTTAAAGCAGACAGTAAGTTAACTCAAGTTACAATCTGGGGATATTACACTGGGACAATTTGAAAGTATTTTGTAGGTTGTGTATATCAATAATAAATATTTAAGTTATATTATTAGAATGTAATATTGAGCGTTGGTGAAAAAGTAGTTTACAGCATGAGAATGATACAATATGGTGTAAGGCAAATTTAAGTAATGACTAGGGTGAGTAGATGGTTTTTGAGAAGAGTCTTAAGGGATTTTAAAATTGAAGTTGAAAAATTATGGAAATTAAGGTTTTCTTACCATAAAATAGTGCAAAATTCTGGCAACATGTTGATGCAATCAGCTTGTTTCTATCATATTTCTAAGTATATTTTTTTCAAAAATGTAATTTTTATGTTTTTGCTATCATCAAGAGGACATGTTGACAATTAGTGTTTTTTTTTTTTTTTTTTTTTTTTTTGACTCCAAAAATTACTATTGTTATGACTGTTTCATTCTAAATACTTAATATGGCAAGTTCTGTGAGGACTAAAGTGAAGAGCACAGAGTTGTTGCTGCTCAGTTGCCGCTGGGTTGTCAACAGCGATAGGGGTTTGCAACATGTTCAGATTTGGCGCGCCATGTCCATAGAGTTTTATAGAAACAAAAATATTAATAACTCAGGAATAAGTTATTGACATTTGTTTAATTTTTTTTCAAAGAGTAATAATAGGAGTGTCATGATTTTTTCACACATTATTGATGAATGATGGTTCTATTAATCTTCAGAGGTGATTTGGAGTATGTTTTACCATAAACCATACCCCCGGCCGGGATTGAACCCGCGGTCATAGAGTCTCAAAACTCCAGCCCGTCGCGTTAGCCACTAGACCAGCTAGCCACAATAAGATTCATCCAACTAGGTATATTTCTACACCATAGGAAAGTTAGCACAGGCACCTCTGTGACCACAAATGCAAGTTTTTACAGACGAATCTCCAGCTAGCGTGGCCGTGACGAACTCTAGCTCAAGTCCCTTCACTGCCGTCAACATGACTTAAGAAATCGTAATGACACGATTGCAAATAAACCATACCCCCGGCCGGGATTGAACCCGCGGTCATAGAGTTTTGAGACTCTTTGACCGCGGGTTCAATCCCGGCCGGGGGTATGGTTTATTTGCACTCGTGTCATTACGATTTCTTAAGTCATGTTTTACCATTTTGTTTTTATTGACTCTTATTCTCCCAAAAAACTCCTAAAAAAAATAATTTTTTTTATAATGCAATCTATTGACATTCTTCGCAAAAAAACTTTGAAATTTAGATAATCTAACTTTTTATCTTTCATCTAATGTTGACTAGAACATTGTACATCTTAACAATTTTGTAGGCCAATGAGGGTTTTATGAAAAAATAAAATTTTGCAATATCTTGCAATTTTGCAACATGAAGTCAATACAAACAAGTGTGTAGGATGCAGACTGCTTTTTTAAATCACAGGACAAACTTTCATTGAAATTGGACCCAAAAAAATGCAACAAAGGCCTCCAGACCGGGTTACTTTAGTATTTACTGGTATTGAATTCCAAATTTTGGGGCCCTTTATGTGCATAGAGTTCTTACATAGTGTGATGTGGACACGGTGTACATCAAAAAGTGATCTGTGTCCTGTGTTATGGTCATACGTCCTGTTAAGGTTGGTGAGAAGTTTGAGCGAAGGGTGTATGTTTGAGTATAGTGTTCTATGTATGTAGTAGGCGCAAGAATAAGTATGGATGTTCTTTACGGTGAGTAGTTTTAGACTTTTGAATATTGGTGGAGTATGCTGTCTGAAGTGGGAATTTGTTATCATTCTGACTGCAGCCTTTTGCTGGGTTATTAGTGGTCATAGGTGATTTAATGTTGTTGATCACCATGCACAAATTCCATAGGTGAGAAAACGGTAGATGAGTGAGTGATAAAGTGCAAGGAGAGCTGATTGTGGAACATAGTATCCTATCTTTGATAGTAGATTTACATTTTGCCACCGAAGTAGCTAGTTTATTGTGCACCCCATATCCATCCTGTGGACGGTAGCACAAGAGCATATGGATACAAAAGGATTACAATGCTGAGTTTACAGAAATTTGGTTATTGTTTGGTTTACATGTAGTAAAACTGTGATTACAGAAACTAGGAACTAGGCCCCAAAGGGTTAACAGGAATACATATGGATTTATATCTACATATCTATAGTTCAGTTATCTGTTACAAGCAAATTTAGGAAATTTGCTTAGTATATCTGGTATCTTATTTTCATTAATAAGATATCTTGACATGCCACATAGGTTGTTATACTGTCTGTCTCTGTATTCCTCAATAAGTGGACAATTAAGCACACAGTGTTCAAGACAGTGACCATATGCCTGATCACATAATTTACATTTAGTTTGATCATCATCTGTGTGTCTCCCAAACTGCCAGAAGTACTTGTAACCAAGTCTAAGCCTGGCCACTACATCACTACATCACCTTTCAAGGCAGGTGAAATTGCTGACCTAGAAAATGTACAGAGAACCTTCACGGCGCGCATAACGGAGATAAAACACCTCAATTACTGGGAGCGCTTGAGGTTCCTAAACCTGTATTCCCTGGAACGCAGGCGGGAGAGATACATGATTATATACACCTGGAAAATCCCAGAGGGACTAGTACCGAACTTGCACACGAAAATCACTCACTACGAAAGCAAAAGACTTGGCAGACGATGCAACATCCCCCAATGAAAAGCAGGTGTGTCACTAGCATGTTAAGAGACCATACAATAAGTGTCAGGGGCCCGAGACTGTTCAACTGCCTCCCAGCATACATAAGGGGGATTACCAACAGACCCCTGGCAGTCTTCAAGCTGGCACTGGACAAGCACCTAAAGTCGGTTCCTGACCAGCCGGGCTGTGGCTCGTACGTTGGTTTGCGTGCAGCCACCAGTAATAGCCTGGTTGATCAGGCTCTGATCCACCAGGAGGCCTGGTCACAGACCGGGCCGCGGGGGCGTTGACCCCCGGAACTCTCTCCAGGTAACTCCAGTCTGTTCACATTGCAAGTTGCTCCATAAACATACTTATCTATGTTCATGTTATCTACTCAGGCTTCTAACTGCATTCCTATAACAATTATTTTCATTATTTACTTCTCTCCTAAAAAAGTGTGATTACTAGTGAGAGATTAAGAGTGAAGGAAAGTGTGACTCAGAGGGAGTGAATGAAAGGAGGAGTGTTTGACATATGGTGATTACGATGATGTATTCCTAGCCTAGATCTGTCACTCAACATATTCACCAAACACCAGCCTCCTCTTCACTTGTGGTGGGTATCAAGTGATCCATAATATTTAAAGAATTTAACATCTTAACAGTAGTTATGGGTAGCACTGCATTTACACTACTAAACGTGTTTATTAGAACACATTCATTATGTAAAGGCAAGCGGTCTTAAATACTTTAACGTAAAATCCCCCCCTCTAGAGAGGTATCTTGATGTTGGTGAGGGGTTCTTGATTTAAGGAACTGTATTTACCCTCCCCTTCCTTGGCTCTAACTAGGTTCAGGGGTTCAGCACTTCCCCATGATCAGAAATAGAATTTAAAAAAAATAAAAATGATAATGTTATAAAAGTTGAAGGGTTGGGACTGTTTGGGTGACTGTCATCTAAGGACCAAGATTAGCATTTCCTTTGATTTAAGTGATAATTTGTTTCCTAGCCCTTTTCAAGGTAGGTGAAATTGCAGACCTGGAGAATATATACAGAGAGCTTTCTCTGTATATATTGCTCTGAACGGTTGAAGTCCCTTGACCTGTACTCCATGGAATGCAAGCGAGAAAGATACATGATAATACACACTTGGAAAATCTTATAGGGACTAGTCCTAAATCTACACACAAAAATCACTCCCTACAAAAGCAAAAGACTTGGCAGACGGTGCAACATCCCCCCAATGAATAGTAAGGGCGTCATGAGCACGCTAAGAAACAACACAATTCTCAGTAGTATCAGTTCCCAGTAGTACCAGTTACCAGTAACCAGTTACCAGTAGCATGACTCACTACCAACTGTCTGCGTGAATCACTGACTGTTATTCACGTTGCTGCTGACTATAGCATGTTTTTCAACGCCGCTCACCCCTAGGCTATGCCTGCCATCTCTAGTTAGTATTAGCTGTATGTCGGGACGACATACGTTAGCGTCGCCGAGCTCTCAGTAGTATCAGTTCCCAGTAGTACCGGTTACCAGTTACCAATAGTATGACTCATTACCAACCGTCTGCGTGAATCACTGACTGTTATTCATGTTGCTGCTGACTCTAGCATGTTTTTGAATGCCGCTCACCCCTAGGGTACACTGGTGAGTCAGTCTTAAGATAGAGAGCAGAGAGGCAGGGTGGGCCTGGTGCTTCCCATATATTCCGTTATAATTATACTCCATTATTGTCTATGTGACTCTCCTTTACCCAGTCCACATAATCGAACCCCCCACATGACACAATAAGCATCAAGGGACCCAAGACTGTTCAACTGTCTCCCAGCATGCATAAGGGGGATTACCAATAGACCCCCTGACTGTCTTCAAGAGGGAGCTGGACTAGCTTGGCTGTGGTTCATACATTGATTTTCATGCGGCCAGCAGTAACAGCCTGGTAGATCAGGCCATGATCCACCATGAGGCCTGGTCATGGACTGCACCTTGGGATGTTGACCCCCGGAACACCCTCCAGGTACATGACCCCCATTAAGTTTAATGCATATTTCTTTAATAAATAACTACCTGTTTTATACGTACCTGCAAACAGTTACAAGAATATAACTAAGATTTAATGCATAATCACTTTAATTGTGCATTTCATCCTTGCAGTGTTTTATTTTTAATTTTTCATATTAACATTAATGAGGTGATATCATTGTTGGTGTAGAAAATGATAATGACTACTGAGATTACTTCATTCTCTCATAATGCTACAAGTGTTTTAATTGTTTTTCATATTACAGGAGTGGGGCACAACATGTTTAACTTTTGAAAAGGACCCTGAGCCATTTGGCAAGGCACGTGATGCTAACATTGTAGCCATTGCTCGTGAGATGGGCATTAATGTTATTGTCAAGACATCCCATACACTCTACAAGCCAGAAAAGTAAGTATGAATACCAGCAACATTTATACTATTTCAGTTATTATTATTATTATTATTATTTTATTATTATTATTTTATTATTATTATTATTTTATTATTATTATTTTATTATTATTATTTTATTATTATTATTTTATTATTATTTTATTATTATTATTATTTTATTATTATTTTATTATTATTATTATTATTACATTCTTGGAGGAGTGCTACACCCATAGGGGTCATACAGCACCTGGGGGCATTGGAAGCAGTCACGTTCTAAGGGGAAGGCAGGTTCAATTTCTTGGCTCAAGTGCCCCTCACCGTCATCAAGGAAACTACATTGATGGGATAAACAGTCATGAACAAGTCTTGTATTGTATTTTGTCTTTGCATTTCTGTCTTCTATTGGCTGCTCACTTTTAGACTTTCATTTGCCTATACATGAAGAGTGCTCTTAAATTTTGGGATGCATCTCATTTCTCAAAAGTTCACCTTCATTAAAATCCATTGTATATAAAGCCAACATGTTTTACATTCTATCCTATATACAGTATCTTTTTATTCCTTTTTCTTCCATGCCTACAGTGCTGTATAGCCCTTGTGGTTTAGTGCTTCTTTTTTTATTATAATAATAAATCTTCCATGACTAATGATCAGCAGTAATAAGAGAAATGTTAATTGTTGCTTTACAGTATAACATGACATTTGACAAAAATGGGTTTAACCTACCAGATTGATAATCTGTTGCTATCTAGGTGGTATGTTTCTGTGCCCAGAAAAAGAAGAGTTTAGTGAAAAATTTGGCCTGTGGGAAAATAAAATTCTGAAATCAGTTTTAGGTTGACTCTTGGACATACACTATTTAGCAATACTGTAATAGCACTGTGTTTACCAAATCGTAGCTATAAGAATTAACATACATTCAAATCAATTTTGTGCTGTATGCAGTCAGTTATTAAATGTTATTTTTTCTTTTCTACTAATGTAGAATTATCGACAAAAATGGTGGAAAACCTCCTCTCACATACAAAGCATTCCAAAATATCTTGATGAGCATGGATCTGCCTCCTCTACCTCAAAGCACAATCACTCTTGATGACCTGGAGAATAAATGTACCCCTATTTCTGATGACCATGATGAGAAATATGGGGTTCCCACTCTGGAGGAACTTGGTAAGTCTTTAATGTCAGTTCAGTATCAGCTTAGGATTTCTGATTAAAAGAAACCTGCAACATTAAGGAAGAATATACAGTGGACCCCCGGTTAACGATTTTAATCCGTGCAAGAGGGCTCATCGTTATGCGAAATAATCGTTATGCGAATTAATTTTCCCCATAAGAAATAATGGAAATAAAATTAATCCGTGCAAGACGCCCAAAAGTATGAAAAAAAATTTTTTTTACCACATGAAATGTTAATTTTAATACACACAAACTGAAAAAGGCATGCACAATTACATGACACTTACTTTTATTGAAGATCTGGTGATGATTGATGGGATGGGAGGAGGGGAGAGCATTATCTTCTTACTGTTTAGAAGGGGAATCCCCTTCCATTAGGACTTGAGGTAGCAAGTCCTTTTCTGGGGTTACTTCCCTTCTTCTTTTAATGCCACTAGGACCAGCTTCAGAGTCACTGGACCTCTGTCGCACAACAAATCTGTCCATAGAGCTCTGTACCTCCCGTTTCTTCAAGACTTTCCTAAAATGGGCCATAACATTGTCATTGAAATAGTCACCAGCACGGCTTGCAACAGCTGTGTCAGGGTGATTTTCATCTATAAAGGTTTGCAGTTCAAACCACTCTGCACACATTTCCTTAATCTTTGAAGTAGGCACAATGGATTCCACAACTGGCATAGGCTTCTCAGGGTTAGCCCCAAACCCTTCAAAATCTTTCTTAATTTCCATACTAATTCTCACCCTTTTTACCACAGGGTTGGCACTAGAAGCTTTCTTGGGGCCCATGGTCACTTATTTTCCAGAAACACCACCGAAAACACTGTAATAATACGAAATATTCCGAGTGTATGCTTGGATGTTACCGCGGAGGCTGGCTGGTAAACAATGGGACGGCCGGCACATGTGAGGGCACATTGGACGCGTCTCGGACGAAAATCGGTATGCGGGTTTTTAATCGGTATGCGGGGCAAAAATTTTGCGATAAAAGTAATCGTTATGCGGAAAAATCGCTATGCGATGCCATCGTTATGCGGGGGTCCACTGTACTCATTGCAGAGCAAACATTTAAATAGACAGTTTCACTCCATGTAGAACTTCATAAAATCATAACTTGTTAACAGATTTTTAAATGCCATCCACCTAGGTTTTTAATCTTCAGTAATTTTTTTTAAGTCTTTTTTTGTTATTTTGAGTTTTCTTCATGTTTTCATTTTATATTTTACTTAATTAATGCTTTTATATTGTACTGGTAATGTTTTTTTAGCTTACCTTTACTTATATATATTGACATAATTATACTTGATATAACAAGTTAATTGAATTTTTTTCTGACTGTGCACACCACTTCAGAGTACAGTTATGTACTGTGCTTTCACATGCCTTCTTCGTTGCATACTGTATGGTATTTCTAATACCATACATGCATTATAAGATTAACAGTGATGTGTCTGATTATTAAAACAATATTGATGGTATGCACTACAAATCATTTAATATGTAAGGACATGTCAGACAAAATTTTCTTAAGATTCTAAGTAAATCCATATACATACAAAGAACATACTGCATCTTGAGACAAGCTACATATAATTGAAGCCCAGAGTGAAGGCATTCATGTTAAAACTTGTTAAATCAATAAAGCATAAAGATTCCATTCAAAAGGGAATAGTCAGGCAGTCTGTTTTTGGCAGTGAAGATGTCAGCTCAAGATTATGATGACAAGTAAATGCAGATAAGAAACTATAGACTGGAAGGAGTTTGAGGAAGCAAAAGAATACAAGGGGAATAAGAAACAGAAGTTACAATGAAAAAAATCATTTTAAAGATTTGAAGACTCGAAAAAAAATTGAAAAAATTTAACGAATTTGCTAAGAAAACCTACTCGGGTGATCAAAGCCTTGAGAAGAATGCAAATGATATAATAAGTATCCCCAGTGAAACCATTGAGCCAGGGACCTCTAAAAGTAAACCATTAAAGTTCAAGAGAGGTGCAAGTTCATTTTCTAATTGTTCTGTTAAATCTGTTGCATAAATCATATTCTAGCCTTAATGGAAAAATGATGGTTTAAAACACTGACACAGTGGTAGACACACACACATGCAGTATAATACCTGGAGTTTACCAAACTCTCTCCAGGTAAACTCCAGGTATTATACTGCATGTGTGTGTGTGTCTACCACTGTGTCAGTGTTTTAAACCATCATTTTTCCATTAAGGCTAGAATATGATTTATGCAATAGAAATATGTTGGTGATAATTTAAGTAGCACTTATGATGATTACTATTTAATATTGTACAATACATCTTATTGTCTAAATTTATAGTTTCATTTTGACAAGGATGAAATACGTATATTGATAATTTGTTTTTATTTTAATTTGAGCTTTAATTTAAAATAAAAGTTGTACATATGTACACAGCAGTTTTTGTGTTCACATATAATGGTTTTATCACCTTAATAGAAAGAGTGAGTGAGTGAGTGTTGTTTGTCTAAGACATTTGTCAATAGACTGCCTCTATAGTTTGTGTTAGTTACTATCTGTCGGACACTTGTCATGTGTACATGCATGTGTGTGTGCTTATAGGGTTAGGGAACTAGGGGAAAGAAGGAAGAGCATTGAAATTTTCACAATCTTTATAACTTGCTATTGTTATAAAATTTAAAAAAAAAAAGAGTGAGTTTAGTGAATAGCTTTTGATACTTCATCTGCTGTAAGATCTGGAACTCAATGCCTGAAGCATCAAAAGGTCCTCTGCCTGCCAATCGATTCAAAGCTATTGTTAAAAAGCACCTCATCTTCCTAACGTAGTTGTAACAGCAATACATACGCAGTGTCAATCAAAACCAGCTTTCATCCAATTCTATCCCAGTTTTTCTTCCATCCTTCCTTCAACTCCCATACATAATTGGTATCATATCTTGTCCCATTGTATTTCTGTTGTAACTAAGTAACTTGCTGTATCTTCACTATCTCTATTCAGTCACTCCACAAAAATGAAGATCATTGAATCAGTTTGCAATTGACCATTTGTCATTAGTTACCTTTTTGTATTCATAATTGTAGTTAATTTCATAAGAAATCTTAATAATCTCTCTAAATCTTAAGTAACATTTAAGACTTAGAATTAGTTTGCACCTACTAATGTTTTATTACTACTTTATTTGTACCTCATAAAGAAATAAAATTTTTATTGTATTCTTGCTAATATGAAATCTAAATTAATATTTGTGAAATAGCTAAGAAAAATGTGCTGCATTTATCCTTTTCTTACATATGTCTTTATTATTTTTTTAGGCTTTGACACAGAGTCACTACATCAAACAGGTTGGAAAGGTGGGGAGAGTGAAGCCCTGGCCAGATTAGAGCATCATCTAGAGCGTAAGGCCTGGGTAGCCTCTTTTGGTAGACCCAAGATGACTCCTCAATCCTTATACTCGTCTCGCACTGGGCTGTCACCATACCTCAGATTTGGCTGTCTGTCTTGTCGAAGATTTTTTTCAGAACTTAATGACCTTTACAGAAAGGTAAGTTGTGGAAAGTGACATTGTTCCTTAAGACATCTGCTGTCCATGTTCACCCATCAATATAAAGTGGGTACCTGGGTGTTAGTTAACTGGTGTGTGTTGCATCCTGGGACAAAACTGACCTAATTTGCCTGCAGTGCTATGCATAACAAGCAGCATTCTATATAGTAGCATGTCAGTGATGTAAGCTAGGCCTTGTACAGTACATGTACTTGTAGAAATAAAGCTATATTATTATTATATTGTACAAGCATTTTATTATTATTATTTTTTTTTTGTTATCACACTGGCCGATTCCCACCAAGGCAGGGTGGCCCGAAAAAGAAAAACTTTCACCATCATTCACTCCATCACTGTCTTGCCAGAAGGGTGCTTTACACTACAGTTTTTAAACTGCAACATTAACACCCCTCCTTCAGAGTGCAGGCACTGTACTTCCCATCTCCAGGACTCAAGTCCGGCCTGCCGGTTTCCCTGAACCCCTTCATAAATGTTACTTTGCTCACACTCCAACAGCACATCAAGTATTAAAAACCATTTGTCTCCATTCACTCCTATCAAACACGCTCACGCATGCCTGCTGGAAGTCCAAGCCCCTCGCACACAAAACCTCCTTTACCCCCTCCCTCCAACCTTTCTTGGCCGACCCCTACCCCGCCTTCCTTCCACTACAGACTGATACACTCTTGAAGTCACTCTGTTTCGCTCCATCTCTCTTACATGCCCAAACCACCTCAACAACCCTTCCTCAGCCCTCTGGAAACAGTTTTGGTAATCCCGCACCTCCTCCTAACTTCCAAACTACGAATTCTCTGCATTTATTCACACCACACTTTTGCCCTCAGACATGACATCTCCACTGCCTCCAGCCTTCTCCTCGCTGCAACATTCATCACCCATGCTTCATACCTATATAAGAGCGTTGGTAAAACTATATTCTCATACATTTCCCTCTTTCCCTCCAAGGACAAAGTTCTTTGTCTCCACAGACTCCTAAGTGCACCACTCACCTTTTCCCCTCATCAATTCTATGATTCACCTCTCTTTCATAGACCATCCACTGACACGTCCATCCCAAAATATCTGAATACATTCACCTCCTCCATACTCTCTCCCTCCAATCTGATATCCAATCTTTCATCACCTAATCTTTTGTTATCCTCATAACCTTACTCTTTCCTGTATTCACTTTTAATTTTCTTCTTTTGCACACCCTACCAAATTCATCCACCAATCTCTGCAACTTCTCTTCAGAATCTCCCAAGAGCACAGTGTCATCAGCAAGAGCAACTGTGACAACTCCCACTTTATGTGTGATTCTTTATCTTTTAACTCCACGCCTCTTGCCAAGACCCTCGCATTTACTTCTCTTACAACCCCATCTTATAATATATTAAACAACCACGGTGACATCACACATCCTTGTCTAAGGCCTACTTTTACTGGAAATAATTTCCCTCTTTCCTATACTCTAACTTGAGCCTCACTATCCTCGTTAAAAAACTCTTCTCTGCTTTCAGTAACCTACCTCCTACACCATACACCTGCAACATCTGCCACATTGCCCCCTATCCACCCTGTCATACGCCTTTTCCAAATCCATAAATGCCACAAAGACCTCTTTAGCCTTATCTAAATACTGTTCACTTATATGTTTCACTGTAAACACCTGGTCCACACACCCCTACCTTTCCTAAAGCCTCCTTGTTCATCTGCTATCCTATTCTCAGTCTTACTCTTAATTCTTTCAATAATAACTCTACCATACACTTTACCAGGTATACTCAACAGACTTATCCCCATATAATTTTTGCACTCTCTTTTGTCCCCTTTGCCTTATACAAAGGAACTATGCATGCTGTCTGCCAATCCCTAGGTACCTTACCCTCTTCCATACATTTATTAAATAATTGCACCAACCATCCAAAACTATATCCCCACCTGCTTTTAACATTTCTGTCTTTATCCCATCAATCCTGGCTGCCTTACCCCTTTCATTTTACCTACTGCCTCACGAACTTCCCCCACACTCACAACTGGCTCTTCCTCACTCCTACAAGATGTTGTTCCTCCTTGCCCTATACACGAAATCACAGCTTCCCTATCTTCATCAACATTTAACAATTCCTCAAAATATTCCCTCCATCTTCCCAATACCTCTAACTCTCCATTTAATAACTCTCCTCTCCTATTTTTTAACTGACAAATCCATTTGTTCTCTAGGCTTCCTTAACTTGTTAATCTCACTCCAAAACTTTTTTTATTTTCAACAAAATTTTTTTGATAACATTTCACCCACTCTCTCATTTGCTCTCTTTTACATTGCTTCACCACTCACTTAACCTCTCTCTTTTTCTCCATATACTCTTCCCTCCTTGCATCACTTCTATTTGTAAAAACTTCTCATATGCTAACTTTTTCTCCCTTACTACTCTCTTTTACATCATCATTCCACCAATCGCTCCTCTTCCCTCCCGTACCCACTTTCCTGTAACCACAAACTTCTGCTGAACACTAACACTACATTTTAGAACCTACCCCATACCTCTTCGACCCCATTGCCTATGCTCTCATTAGCCCATCTATCCTCCAATAGCTGTTTATATCTTACCCTAACTGCCTCCTCTTTTAGTTTATAAACCTTCACCTCTCTCTTCTCTGATGCTTCTATTCTCCTTGTATTCCATCTACCTTTTACTCTGTGTAGCTACAACTAAAAAGTGATCTGATATATCTGTGGCCCCTCTATAAACATGTACATCCTGAAGTCTACTCAACAGTCTTTTATCCACCAATACATAATCCAACAAACTACTGTCATTTCGCCCTACATCATATCTTGTATACTTATTTATCCTCTTTTTCTTAAAATATGTATTACCTATAACTAAACCCCTTTCTATACAAAGTTCAATCAAAGGGCTCCCATTATCATTTACACCTGGCACCCCAAACTTACCTACCACACCCTCTCTAAAAGTTTCTCCTACTTTAGCATTCAGGTCCCCTACCACAATTACTCTTTCACTCGGTTCAAAGGCTCCTATACATTCACTTAACATCTCCCAAAATCTCTCTCTCTCTCCTCTACATTCCTCTCTTCTCCAGGTGCATACACGCTTATTATGACCCACTTTTCGCATCCAACCTTTACTTTAATCCACATAATTCTTGAATTTACACATTCATATTCTCTTTTCTCCTTCCATAACTGATCCTTCAACATTACTGCTACCCCTTCCTTTGCTCTAACTCTCTCAGATACTCCAGATTTAATCCCATTTATTTCCCCCCACCGAAACTCCCCTACCCCCTTCAGCTTTGTTTCGCTTAGGGCCAGGACATCCAACTTCTTTTCATTCATAACATCAGCAATCATCTGTTTCTTGTCATCCGCACCACATCCACGCACATTCAAGCATCCCAGTTTTATAAAGTTTTTCTTCTTCTCTTTTTTAGTAAATGTCTACAGGAGAAGGGGTTACTAGCCCATTGCTCCCGGCATTTTAGTCGCCTCATACGACACGCATGGCTTACGGAGGAAAGATTCTTTTCTACTTCCCCATGGACAATAGAAGAAATAAAGAACAAGAGCTATTTAGAAGAAGGAGAAAAACCTAGATGTATGTATATATATATGCATGTGCGTGTCTATGAAGTGTGACCAAAGTGTAAGTAGGAGTAGCAAGATATCCCTGTTATTTAGCATGTTTATGAGACAGAAAAAGAAACTATGCCTTGTACAGTACATGTACTTGTAGAAATAAAGCTATATTATTATTATATTGTACAAGCATTTTATGAAAGCATAATAAAAGCTGCTCTTTAGTCATTCAGGAATTTTATTAATTTAAAAAGTTAGCCTATTTTCTGTGTTTTACTTTTATAAATAGTATAATACAGGATCCCAGCTTACAAAATGCTCCAAGTTACAAATGTCCTCATTTACAAATGAGGCACTTACGAACCAATTAAAATTTTAAAACTGCTGAGCTATGGTATAAATATGAGTGAAACTTGTTGGTTTTCTTATGCAGTAGGGCTGCCAGGGATGAGAAGGAAAAGGATGGGGTAGGATAGAACAGCTAAAAAATAAAGGATTGTTGTTATACCTGGAGTATACCCAGAGAGGGTTTTGGGGGTCAATGCCCCTGTGGCCCGGTCTGTGATCAGGTCTCATGGTGGATCAGGGCCTGATTAACCAGCCTGTTGCTGTTGGCTGCACACAACCCAATGAACTAACCACAGCCAGGCTGGTCAGGTACTGACTTTAGGTGCCTGTCCAGTGCCTTCTTGAAGACGCCCAGGGGTACATACGAAGGACGGATGATAATAATAATATAATTAAATTAAGGGCCAACCCCAAAAGGGTCATAAAGCCAAAAAAAAAAAAAAAGCTGAGGAACAAGTCTGACCATTTTGGGTTTTAAGACACTTATCACATAGTGATGAGTGGTAATTGACCTAAATTTTTTTTTTTTTTTTAACAAGTCTTCCATTTCCCACCAAGGCAGGGTGGCCCAAAAAAAAAAGAAAATACTTTCATCATTCAACACTTTCACCATCACTCATACATAATCACTGTCTTTGCAGAGGCACTCAGATATGACAGCTTCTTTGTATTATTTTTTGTACAAGCAACTTGTTTGTCCTAGGTAGTAGGTTGGTAAACAGCACTGCCCAGGGAGGTACTACTGTCCTGCCAAGTGAGTGTACAATGAAAACCTGTAATTGTTTTACATGATGGTAGGATTGCTGGTGTCTTTTGTCTGTCTCATAAATATGCAAGATTTCAGGTATGTCTTGCTACTTCTACTTGCACTTAGGTCACACTACACATACATGTACAAGCATATATATACACACACCCCTCTGGGTATTCTTCTATTTTCTTTCTAGTTCTTGTTCTTGTTTATTTCCTCTTATCTCCATGGGGAAGTGGAACAGAATTCTTCCTCCGTAAGCCATGCGTGTTGTAAGAGGCGACTAAAATGCCGGGAGCAAGGGGCTAGTAACCCCTTCTCCTGTATAAATTACTAAATTTAAAAGAGAAACTTTCGTTTTTCTTTTTGGGCCACCCTGCCTTGGTGGGATACGGCCGGTGTGTTGAAAGAAAGAAAGAAAGAACTTGTTTGTATGTTGAAAGACTAGGAATGCAATTTGTTTGTTAAGTGGGTGACCTATATATCAAACCTGTCTTATGTATGTACAGTACTTCAGTATACAGTTCATTATTGCAGTATTGTCTTTCAGTATAGTATGAATTTATGAATTAATTTTACTTGTTCCAGCAGTGATTTTATCTGTGGTTCACAACTTCTCAGCTGCTTTGAAAGTAATTAAAACTTCAGAAATTCTCAGGTTCAGAAAGGACTGCAAAGCTTTGCTTTTTCTATCATTTGAATAGGAATTACTGCAAAATCTTTAGAGCAAGTCAGAATATTACAGAATTTTATTGAGCTATGAATCAATAAGAATAAACCCTGTATTTATTAATAAGTCACATATCAGCTTTTTCAAAAAGCCCAAGTAATTTTTTCATGACTTTTTACAACCTATGTCCTTGCCGTATTCATTCCGTAATATGTATATCAAATAAACAAAGTTATGAATTTGTGAAAACAGTCTTTGTAAATTCTGAATACTCAACAGATCAGAAAGTCTCCGCCACCACTTTCACTGCATGGTCAGTTATTGTGGCGAGAATTCTATTATACTGCAGCAACCAACAACCCCAAGTTTGATCATATGGAAGGAAACCCCATATGTGTTCAGATACCATGGGATAAGAACCCAGAAGCTCTTGCAAAATGGGCAAATGTAAGTAATGGTAATGCCAACCAGACACTTGGCATATTTTATAATAGTTTTAGAACTGTCTTGATATATATGCTTTATGTAAATATACTGTTGGAGTGTGAGTAAGATACCCTTTATGAAGGGATTCAGAAAATAAATTAGTTAGCCAGACCTGAGTTCTGGAGGTGGGAAATGCAGTGCCTACACTTGAAAAGTGGGTGAGGATATTACAGTTCAGAGTCATCTGAACTGTGGTGTCAGCATGCTTCTGGTGAATGAGTAAGTGTTGGTGAATTTTATTGTTTTGCCATCCTGTCTCAAGAGATGTGTTATCTCTGCATTAATGATAATGGGAGTAGAATTCGCTTTCTTAACAACATAGCTCTCTAAATTTAAACACTCACAGCAGCTGTGTTTCAAAGATTCACACATAATTTCACATGAGGCAGTGAGTAAAATGAAAGGGAATAAAGCAGCTGGGATTGATGGGATCAGGACAGAAATGTTAAAAGCAGGTGGGGATATATTTTTGGAGTGTTTGGTATATTTGTTCAGTATGTGTATGAAAGAAGGGAAGGTACCTAGGAATTGTCAGAGAGAGTGCATAGTTCCAGTGTATAAAGGAAAGGGGGACAAAAGAGAGTACAAAAATTATAGGGGAATAAGCCTGTTGAGTATACCATATAAAGTGTATGGTAGAGTTATTATTGAAATTTTGGATGTATATTTTCATTTCCATTTACAAAAATTGCACTATATAAAGGAGCTTTATATGAGAGCTTACTGTAATGAGAATCTTCAATATGATTTGTGAATTGCACCACTCGCATATGGCAAATACATGTTACAAATAGAACATCTTTAGTATTGGGACAGCACATAACAGCAAATTCATATAAAGTAGGGAAATGTAGGGTAATTTTTCATGAATTGCCATTAACTGCTTAGTTTTAGTTAGCAACTACAGTTAAAGCTTAAATTCAAATGCTAACAAAAATTAACTGGACCTCCCCTTTATTATTACAAAAACTATTAAAAAGCAATAATATAAAGCTTATATAACAAAAACTGTAGTACAGTGGTACCCTGAGTTTCGTACAGCTCCCAACTTGAACACTTCTATAAGTGTATTATTGTAAGTGCTTTTGTAAGTGTATTTTTGGGGGTCTGAAATGGACTAATCTAATTTACATTATTCCTTATGGAAACAAATTCGTTTGGTAACGGCACTCGAACAGCCTTCTGGAATGAATTATGGCCGAAACTCAGGGTACCACTGTACTTAGTATTTTGTCATCTCCCCCTTGGCCTTGATGACCATTTGAAGCCATTTGGGCATGCTTTCACTCAGATTCCCGAAGTAATCATTGGACATCTGGTTGACCCAAATGCCCTTGATCTGCTGAAGACACGATATGAATGACATGTCTCAGGATTCCATCTTTTTCATATTTCAGGCATTTCCAATATGATTAAGGTTTCGACTATTTCTTGACCACTGTAAAACCTCACTACTTTTCATTTCAAGACACTTGGTTACTATTTGGCTTTGTGATAGAGAGTACTGCTATGATGCCATGGTGCAGCCATGAATTTTGAAAATATTCAGCAAGCAGACCTTGAGAATGGTGATGTAGTGATTGGCATATGTCATTGTAACATTGTGGAGAAGGAAGTACAAACCCCTGTGGACAAGTAAACCACTAAAGCACCTTCAGATCATGGCAGGTTGTTGGTGTTTTATGGTGCTCACTGAGTATGCAGGGTTATACCTGCTAATGAAGCTGGTATGACCTTAATGAAGCAGGTATGACCCATCAAAGCAGGGTCAACCTGCTTTGATGACTTAGAATACACTGAAATGTGAATTCATCTGACCACATGATTATTTTTTAGTTATCAACACTCCAATGCAAATATTTTCTGGCAAACTTCAAGCATTCCTTCTTCATACGGGTGTGAGTTGGGGTTTCCTTGGTGCACAACGGTGGCAGACAGAGGTTCTTTAGCAGGTTGTGTTGAATTGAGAGGTCATTCAGGATTTCAGGATGCACTTCTTTCATCTGTGATGCAGTCATATGTGGTCTTTTTATAGAATGTTGTGTGTGTTTAAACACCCTCCCTGACCATCCAGTACGAGGTTTTGTAGTGGGACTGACGTCTGGTGAGTCCACAGGTGACAACAAGTAACACCATTCTTCTTGACTTTGCTCATCCAGTATAGTAACAGATTTTCTTTATGATAACCTTTTCTTATCTCCAAGCCAGTATATATATGGGCTTTTTCCCTCACTATTCATCTTTGAACCACCCATATTTATCCACTTGGCACAAAATTACATGGCACTAGATACTGCTCCCAATCCTTGGCACTGGGGTAGAGCAATACAACAACAGAGCACCTTATTTCACTGCTGCATGCAAGTGCACTGAGAAGTGATACATACTGCAGTCTTTTGTATTAACTCAGAGTTGACAGATACCTCCAAGAAATATTCAGATGAAGTATGGCATCAAGTACATTTTATGTTGTTTATGATGGAGGCAGGTCCAGATTATTTTTATGAGCACTATAATCATTAAAATTTTATTTTAGTGTGTTGAAAACTTTCAGATTACTACATGAGCTATACTGTTTTATTGTTTAGTAGTTAAATGTTTTTATACTTAAAAATTTACTTTTCTTCAGGGTCAAACAGGTTATCCCTGGGTTGATGCCATTATGACCCAGCTGCGGAAGGAAGGGTGGATTCATAATGTAGCTCGACATGCTGTTGCCTGTTTCCTGACTCGTGGTGATTTGTGGGTGTCATGGGAAGAGGGTATGAAGGTGTGTGTTCATCCCAGGTAGACTTTTATGTAAAATATCAATTTATCTACAGTACTTTTCAAAAATTAGTATTTCTATGAAAGGTTGTGCTTGTCAAGGGTATCATTGTAATGAGTGTCTTCAGACAATGTTGAATGACACGCATGACAATCAGTATGATACTGTATTTACTTTGTGTAATTTTGCCTAGTAACTGAAGATACATAAGGGAACAATTTTACTTAACAGCCATGTATAGCTCCTTATTAACAGTTTAAAGTAAAATTCCACATAAAAACAAACCATACCACAGGCGGGGATAGAACCCGCGATGAGAGAGTCTCAAAACTCCGACTCTCTGATCACGGGTTCTATCCCTGCCTGTGGTGTGGTTTGTTTGCAATCACGTCATTACGATTTTGTGAGTCAAGTTAAAATTCCACATTTCTTGATAGTTTTTGAGTCCACTATGTATACACTAAATCACCATACATGTATATAGAAATGCATTTTATCTTTAAGGAAAAAAAATTAAGAGTCAGGTGTGAGTGTGGGGGAGGTGCATGAAGCAGTGGGTAGAATGAAAGGGGGTAAAGCAGTTGGGCTTCATGGGATCAAGAAAGAAATGTTCAGTAAATGTATAAAAGGGAAAAGGTACCAAGGGTTTAGCAGTGGTTGGTGAATGGTTCCTTTGTAAAAAGAAAATGGGAATAATAGAGTGTAAGAATTATAGTGAAATAAACCTATTGAGTATACCAGGTAAAGTGTATGACAGAGTGCAGGATTGCAGACGAACAAGGAAGTTTTAGGAAGGATTGGGGATGTGTAGACCAAGCATTTATATTAAAGCATATAAGCAAACAATATTCAGATTTAGAAAAGACATATGATAGGGTGGATAGGGGAGCAATGTGGCAATTGATGCAAGTTACAAAATTTGTAGTAGATTACTTAAAGCTGTCAAGAGTTTTTATGAGGATAGTGAGGCTCAGGTTAGGGTAGTTAGGAGAGGAGGGATATTATTTCCTGATAAAAGTAGGCCTTAGACAGGGATGTGTGATATCACCATGGTTATGCCCTTGATGGAGATGTATTATTGTCTGTTGTTAGGGTAGGACTGTAGATATGCAAGTGCATGGCCTCTGATACCATAATGTTCAAGTGTAAGGTGTAGGATATTGTGGTCTACTATATCAAATACTTTCTTAAGATCTGTAAAGAGGCCTAGTGGACATTCATTATTCTCAAGAGCTGAATGTTAAAATGGTATAAAATACCGACAGGTTGTTAGGTAAGACACATATGCAACATATGTGTCTTACCTAACAACCTGTCTGTATTTTATACCATTTTAATATTCACTCTGTCAGACACAATGGTATCTTGGTACAGAACAGAAAATAACTTGGACAACTTCTACTAGTGAGAATGGCTGGATCTGAGAGGGATGTGACCTCCCAACGACTACATTTTTACCTCTACTAGTGGCCTACATCTGACCTCCTGGCGGTATATAAGGCTCTATCCTGTCACTTCAACTCCATATTGTTTCAGACTATGGAACGGTACTCTTCTTCAGACTGAGGGACTGACCACCTCAAAACTTCAAGGGTGATGGACTGATTACATCGTCTTCATGTCTCTTCTATCAACTTTTCTGTACTTGACTGAAGAAGCCTACTGTATAGGCAAAACGCTTCGAAATAAAGATACCTAACTGTTGCATATGTGTCTTACCTAACAACATTCTCAAGAGCTGCATAAATGAAGTCTTGCATTTTTATAATTGCATCATTTGTGCTTTTATTTGATCTGAAACCAAACTGGCAGAGATTGACTATGTTGAGTGACACTAGAAAAGAATATAATCTCTTGTGGATAAATTTTTCAGTTGGGTCTCTCCTTTGTGTATTCGGGTAACCCTTGCTGCCTTAAGCATTGTCGGGAATTGTTGGTTTCTTTTGATTTGTTGTACAATATTGCAATGGTGGGTGAAAGCCTGGAGAGGATTTCAGTTGATCAGGCCCACATCCACATGGTGGATGTGGGCCTGATCACCCAGGCTGTTACTGTTGGCCGCACACAACCTGATATACGAACCACAGCTTAACTGGTCAGGTACTGACTTTAGGTGCCTGTCCAGTGCCTTCTTGAAGACAGCCAGGGATTTATTGGTAAACCTCCTTATGTATGCTAGGAGGCAGTTGAACAATCTAGGGCCCCCCTCACACTTATTGTGTTGCCTTATCGTGCTAGTGGCACCCCTGCTTTTCATTGGGGGGATGTAGCATTTATCGAGTCTTTTGCTTTCACAGGGAGTGATTTTCGTGTGCAAGTTTGGTACTAATCCGTCTAGGATTTTTGAGTGCATATAATCATGTATCTCTCCTACCTGTGTTCTAGGGAGTACAGGTTGAGGAACTTCAAGTGTTCCCTGTAATTGAGGTGTTTTATCGCACTTACGTGTGCTGTGAAGGTTCTCTGTACATTTTCTAGGTCAGCAATGTCACCTGCCTTGAAAGGTGCTCTTAGTGTGCAGCAATATTCCAGCTTAGATAGAACAAGCGACCTGGAGAGCATCATCATGGGCTTGGCATCACTGGTTTTGAAGGTTCTCATTATCCATCCTGTCATTTTTCTAGCAGATGCGATTGATACAATGTTGTGGTCTTTGAAATGACGTCCTCTGACATTATCACTCCCAGGTCTTTTACATTAGTTTTTTGTTCTATTGTGTGGTTGGAATTTGTTTTATACTCCAATGTTGTTTTAATTTCATCACATTTTCCATATTGGAGTAATTGAAATTTCTCATCATTGAACTTCATGTTGTTTTCTGCAGCCCATTTAAAGATAAGGTTGATGCCGGAGTCTTGCAGTGTCTTCAATGCAGGACACTGTCATGCAAATTGTGTTCTGTTTGTTAGGAAATTATAGATCCACGTACCAACTTTACCCGTTATTCCCTTTTCACACATTTTGTGCACTATTACACCATGATCACATTTGTCAAAGGCTTTTGCAAAGTCTGTGTATAGTACTACATTTGCATTTTATTTGTCTTCTAGAGCATCCAGGATCTTGTCATAGTGGTCCAGTAGTTGGGATAGGCAGGAGTGACCTGCTCTAAACCCATGTTGCCCTGGGTTGTGTAACTGATGGGTATCTAGATGGGTGGTGATCTTGCTTCTTAAAACCCTTTCAAAAATTTTTATGATATGGGATATTAGCGCTATTAGTCAGTAGTTTTTTGCTACTGCTTTACTGCCCCCTTGGTGGAGTGGGGCTATGTCCGCTTTATTAGCAGCTGTGGGACGACCTGTGTCCATGCTTCCTCTCCATAAGATGTTAAAAGCACATGATAGTGGCTTCTTGCAGTTCTTGATGAGCATGGAGTTCCATGAGTCTGGGCCTGGGGCAGAGTGCATGGGCATATCATTTAATGCCTTTTCAAAGTCATTTGGCATCAGGATAATATCAGATAGGTTTGAGTCTACCAAATTCTGTGTCCCTCTCATAAAAAATTCATTTAGGTCTTCGACTCTGGTTAGTGGCTCACTAAAAACCAAGTCATATTGGGACTTGAGTAGCTCACTCATTTCCTTGCTCCCATCTTGTCTAAGTAGGGGCCCAGTACTGGATGTTGTTCTCAGCTTTGATTTGGCATAAGAAAAGAAATACTTTGGGTTTCTTTCAATTTCATTTATGGCTTTTAGTTCTTCCTGCATTTCTTGACTCCAGTAAAATTCCTTTAGCTGCATTTTTAAACAGTATCAGTGGTACTTGTGCTAATGTTCCTGACATTATTTTCATTGAGTTTATTACCAAAGAGACCTCAGTAGGATTAGTTCCGGCCAGATAGAGGGAGGTTATAATAATATCATTATTTCTACAAGTACATGTACAAGGTATACAGGCCTAGCTGACATCAATGACATACTACTATATAGAAAGCCCCTTGTTATGCAGAGCATTTCAGGCAAATTAGGTCAGTTTTGTTCTAGGATGCGACCCACACCAGTCAACTAACATCCAGGTACCCATTTTACTGATGGGTGAACATACAACAACCAGTGTAAGGAAACATGCTGTCAAGTTACATTAAGGAGATGAGGTGCTTTTTAACAATAGCTTTGAAGCGATTGGCAAGTAGCAAACCTTTAGAAACTTCAGGTAGGGAGTTCCAGATTTTAGGGCCTTTTATGTAGATTGAGTTTTTATACAGGCTGAGTCATATGCAGGGAAAATATCTGGATTAAATAAACAGGATGCTCTACCATACTTGTACCAGATTTTTTTTTACTGGCAAGTATTTCTGATTATAACATGGGTGTTTATGGGATAATAGGGTGTAAAATTTGGTAACAGCCTTTTTTCTCTGAATTACACTCTAGATTACTGAATGAGGGATGCCAAGATTTTTTTATTATTATCACACTGGCCGATTCCCACCAAGGCAGGGTGGCCCGAAAAAGAAAAACTTTCACCATCATTCACTCCATCACTGTCTTGCCAGAAGGGTGCTTTACACTACAGTTTTTAAACTGCAACATTAACACCCCTCCTTCAGAGTGCAGGCACTGTACTTCCCATCTCCAGGACTCAAGTCCGGCCTGCCGGTTTCCCTGAACCCCTTCATAAATGTTACTTTGCTCACACTCCAACAGCACATCAAGTATTAAAAACCATTTGTCTCCATTCACTCCTATCAAACACGCTATGCATACCTGCTGGAAGTCCAAGCCCCTCGCACACAAAAACCTCCTTTACCCCCTCTCTCCAACCTTTCTAGGCCGACCCTACCCCGCCTTCCTTCCACTACAGACTGATACACTCTTGAAGTCATTCTGTTTCGCTCCATTCTCTCTACATGTCCGAACCACCTCAACAACCCTTCCTCAGCCCTCTGGACAACAGTTTTGGTAATCCCGCACCTCCTCCAAACTTCCAAACTACGAATTCTCTGCATTATATTCACACCACACATTGCCCTCAGACATGACATCTCCACTGCCTCCAGCCTTCTCCTCGCTGCAAACATTCATCACCATGCTTCACACCCATATAAGAGCGTTGGTAAAACTATACTCTCATACATTCCCCTCTTTGCCTCCAAGGACAAAGTTCTTTGTCTCCACAGACTCCTAAGTGCACCACTCACTCTTTTTCCCTCATCAATTCTATGATTCACCTCATCTTTCATAGACCCATCCGCTGACACGTCCACTCCCAAATATCTGAATACATTCACCTCCTCCATACTCTCTCCCTCCAATCTGATATTCAATCTTTCATCACCTAATCTTTTTGTTATCCTCATAACCTTACTCTTTCCTGTATTCACCTTTAATTTTCTTCTTTTGCACACCCTACCAAATTCATCCCCCATCTCTGCAACTTCTCTTCAGAATCTCCCAAGAGCACAGTGTCATCAGCAAAGAGCAGCTGTGACAACTCCCACTTTGTGTGTGATTCTTTATCTTTTAACTCCACGCCTCTTGTCAAGACCCTCGCATTTACTTCTCTTACAACCCCATCTATAAATATATTAAACAACCACGGTGACATCACACATCCTTGTCTAAGGCCTACTTTTACTGGGAAATAATTTCCCTCTTTCCTACATACTCTAACTTGAGCCTCACTATCCTCGTAAAAACTCTTCACTGCTTTCAGTAACCTACCTCCTACACCATACATAAATTTCCTGTCTTTAAAGATGTGTTAATACATACTTCTAAGTAATGTATAGAAAAATGTTGAATTAAGTTCCTTTGGCAGGTTTTTGATGAACTGCTGCTGGATGCAGACTGGTCTGTAAATGCTGGATCTTGGATGTGGCTTTCATGTTCATCATTTTTCCAGCAATTTTTCCATTGTTACTGTCCTGTACGGTATGGTAGAAAAGCTGATCCAAATGGTGACTATATCAGGTAAGCTTTTAATGAGATACTGTAGTATTGTATAGCATTTGCATAGCAGCAAATTGTAATGAACTCAGAAATATGTGAAAGCACTCCAAGTGAAATTATAACTAGCTTGAGGCCTAAAAGGATAATGACCAGTGTTTGTAACAGACACGTGTACACTGTTCCAGATATTTTCTAAGGAAATGTTTTGCCACGAGTGGCTTCTTTAGTCTTATTACAGAGCAAAAAAATAAATCATTTATAATACAAGAAGTCAGGCGAACCTAAATCTGAAGTGGGATAACATATTAGAGGTAGAGTTGGTAGTATCTTCCTGAGGTAGGCCAGGAGGCCTCCTGCAAGGCTCACTGGTGTAACTTGATATCATCAGATGGCACTGTTACTGTTTGGTAGCAATTATTTGGCCAAGGTTCTAGATATACTATAGCTGCCTGACTTCTGTGGCATGGTCATAGTGTTTGTGATTGCTATTATGAGTATAGTATGTACCTCTTAAGTGTTAGCATCTGTGTAAATCGTTTTTGCGAACTATCTGTTTAACTTCATGGGATTTCCTGATGTGTCCCTTACCTTTGATATAGCTCTGAAGAGTTTCAAGAGTTTATCTGCTCTCTGAGCTTGGCCAAGGGCCAGGCTCGTTTGGTGCTTGCCTGGTCAACCAGGCTGTTGCTGCTGGAGGCCCACTGCCTCACATATCCATCATAGCCTGGTTGATCTGACACCTGGTGAAGATAATTGTCCATTTTCCTCTTGAAGGCTTCTACACTTGTTCCAGCCATGTTTCTGATATCTTCTGGTAAGATGTTGAATAGTCTGGGACCCTGGATGTTGATTCAGTGTTCCCTTATTGTCCCCACTGCACCTCTGCTCCTCACTGGGTTTACTTTACACTTCCTCCCATATCTCTCACTCCAGTATGTTGTTACGGCTGTGTGCATATGGGACCAGTCCCTCGAGTACTTTCCAGGTATATATCATGTATCACTCTCTCTCCTCCACTCCAGTGAGTATATGCTCAAGACTTTAAGGCATTTCCAGTAGTTTAGGTGCTTTACTAGCTCAGTGTGAGCCATAATCGATCTCTGTATTTGCTCCAGCTCCGATATTTCTCCTGCTTTGAACGGGGCCGTCAGCAGTGAGCAGTATTCTAAGTGAGAGAGCACTAGTGATTTGAAGAGTTCCTTGTGCTGTTCTATGTTGTATGCAGGCATAATTTTGGTGGTCTGGGCTGTAAGTGTGTTGGTGTTCTCAAAGTCTTGAGTTGTAGTGTGTTTGATGTTTCACGTATGTACTTTTTGTTGCAGTCTCCACAAGGTATGATGTACATGCCAACCTTGGTGGTGGCATTGTCTGTATGTCTGCTTGACTGACTTCAGTAATAAATTATTGGATTAGACAGGTTAAGTCTATCATTATAGTCTACTTGTCCACTCACATTGTCAATCTGCTGACCTCAAAACAAGTGGGATACAGGTATTTCCTTCATTTACTGCCAGTCAAATAATTTCTAAACCTGTGCAGAAAGGCTTACTTAGTATTTCCTTGTGTACCTCTCATATTTGTTCCTTGCTTGCAGGTTTGATTCTATTAAGTGGCATTGATATAATTCAGTTGTAAGTATGCTGTTGTAGGTTACACATTCATAGTACATATACATAAATTTTAGTCAGCCTTATTACTTTAGGTTAAGCAATGTCAGTAGGTTAGATTGGGCACTGTTACCTGTGCATATTTAAGGATTTGTAAAGAAGAATCATCTGCCATTATATTCCCAAACTGTAGAGATTTCTAGCTTATCACGTTTGACTTACGTATAAAAAGCTAAGAAAGGTATTTGGTTGTTAACACAAATTAACAGTTGTTTTCATAGGTAACAACATTGAAGCTGGTTGTGTGCCTTGAAAAATCATTAAACATAATTGAGGCTTAACATTTGTGTTTTGATTTCTTGTGCCATTTTTACATGCATCGTTTATACATAGTTTAATATTATGTAAATTGTCATATATCCAGTGCAAAAACACTGCACCATTAAGGTGAATTAAAGGGTATCATAGTAATAGCATTGTTTAGCACTTAGTTATGATTATAATAATACAGTGGAACCCTGGTGTTTGAACTTAATTGGTTCCTTGGTGGCATTCAAACTGAGAAAAGATCAATGTCCAAAACAGTATTTCCCAGGCTTTAATTATCAGCCTCACACACACTTCCAAAAGTCTCTGAGAGCTAGGTCAGTGTCAGAGGTCACTTGAAAGCACTTTTGAAACAGGGCTTTCCTGTAAAGTTTTTTTACAACTGAATGATGATCCCATGTATCAGAAATCTTCCCGATGAGGATAGACTGAGGGCCCTGAATCTGCACTCTCTCGAAAGGCGTAGAACTAGGGGGTATATGATCGAGGTGTATAAATGGAAAACAGGAATAAATAAAGGGGATGTAAATAGCGTGCTGAAAATTTCCATCCAAGACAGGACTCGCAACAATGGTTTCAAGTTAGAAAAATTCAAATTCAGGAAGGATATAGGAAAGCACTGGTTTGGTAATAGAGTTGTGGATGAGTGGAATAAACTCCCGAGTACAGTTATTGAGGTTTAAACATTGTGTAGTTTTAAAAATACGTTAGATAAATACATGAGTGGGTGTGAGTTGGACCTGACTAGCTTGTGCTGCTGGGTCTGGCGTTGTGCTCCTTCCTTGAGTGGAGGTGACCAGACTGGGTGGGTCATTGGGCTAATCCGGGAGGGAAGTCATCGGGTTAATCCGGGGGGGGGGGGACATGGACCTGCTCCGCATGGGTCAGTAGGCCTGTTGCAGTGTTCCTTTCTTATGTTCTTATGAATTTTAAACAAATCAGTTGGTTTGGACTTCAGAAAAATGTTCCAAGACTGAGTCAACTTTTTCTGAACAAAATTGTTCGAACTCCAGTTTGTTTGAGGTCCAGTACATTTGAACACTGAGGTTCCATTGTAGTGGTAGTAGCATTGAACTTTTCATTGATATTATTAATTAACATATCCTAGAGATTGAAGTGGTATTCTTTGGGTGGTGGTGTACATGTTACACTCAGCCTTAATGACAGTTACATACTCAATAGGCTTTAAACCTGACCAACAAATTATTGGCTCCCTGTCATTCTATCTCATGGCAGAAATCTTTTTTTTTTTTTTTTTTTTTTTCAAATCTTTGGGGAATATGTAAAATTCTAGATTTGGCTTGTCACTTTGCTGATTACTACAGCCAACAGCTTAGAGGGGTGAGGAAAATCACACATCTGAGCAGTATGTGTACATAATAGTTTATGTAGCTGACAAGATATGGCCCACTAATCCATGACATCACATGCAAAAGCTCATTACAGCTTGGTTGAGACAAGATTTAAAGACAGTATATTAGTGCATTCATGAGAAGGGGGAGTGAGCACTAAACCTGTAGAGTCATACAGTCTGAGCACAGGTCCAATTTCTTAGATCAAGAGCCCCTCACAACATCAAGGAACCTCCATAGAGGAGTGAAGTAGTATGAACTCTATAGGATGGGAGACATAAGACAAATTTAGAATCAATAATGATTAAACTAATGTTGAACTACTCTTAATATTACTGAAGTTTTAAATTCTTTTATCTTTAAGAACGTACTTGCCAGTGCTCAAGAATTTCCCAACAAAATATATTCATGAACCCTGGACTGCACCTGAGTCAGCACAACGAGCTGCCAAGTGTGTTATTGGGCAAGATTACCCAATGCCTATGGTGGATCACATCAAGCAGAGTCAAAATAATATTGAAAGGATGAAGCAAGTGTACCAGCAACTTGCTCACTACAGAGGAAAAAGTAAGTATAGAAGATGAACTTCAGTGATTAGCTGTACTCGCCTAGTTGTGGTTGCAGGGGTCGAGTCACAGCTCCTGGCCCCGCCTCTTCAATTGGCCACTACTCAGTCACTCTTCCTGCTCCATGAGCTTTATCATACCTCTTCTTAAAGCTATGTATGGATCCTGCCTCCACTACATGACTACCCAGGCTATTCCACTTCCTGACAACTCTATGACTGAAGAAATACTTTCTAACATCCCTGTGATTCATCTGAGTCTTCAACTTCCAACTGTGACCCCTTGTTGCTCTGTCCCATCTCTGGAACATCCTGTCTCTGTCCACCTTATCTATACCTCTCAGTATTTTATATGTCATTATCATATCCCCCCTATCTCTCCTGTCTTTCAGTGTCGTCAGGTCGATTTCCCTAAACCTCTCCTCGTAGAACATACCCCATATTATTATTATTATAATCAAAAAGAAGCGCTAAGCCACAAGGGCTATGCAGCGCTGCAGGGTAGGGAAGGAAGCGAGGGTATTGGATGGCAGAAGGGAGGAGGGATGATCAGTAGGTTACAGAAAACAGCGGGGCAGGGGATAGTACGGGGGTAGAGGGTAGCAAGAGATTGAAGTAGAAAGGGCTGAAGGTATCAGAATTTGTGAAGTAAGTCAGTTGTTGTCAAAAAGTCAATGAGAGAGTCTGGATGAAAGGTGGGTCCATCAGCGAGAAGGGAAGGTAAAGAGAGAGCAGCAGAGCGAAGACGACGACGGAGGTAAATTCTGCGTGCTCGTTGATAAAGTGGGCAGTCCAACAGAATGTGGCTGACTGATAATGGAACTTGGCAATTCTCACAGAGAGGAGCAGGGCACCTCTCCATGAGATATCCATGAGTAAGACGAGTATGGCCAGTGCGAAGACGGGAGAGAGTAGTCTCCCAACCTCGACACTGGTGATAAGAAGACGGCCAGTAACCTATACTCGGTTTAACAGATTGAAGTTTGTTGCCGAGCATAGTAGACCAACGTTGTTGCCAACGGGTGTGAAGTTGGGAAGATATTGCAGCAAAATAGTCCGTAAATGGAATACCGCTACATGAAACTGGTAGGTCATGTACTGCTGACCGCGCAGCAGTGTCTGCCTGTTCATTGCCCTGTACGTCAACATGACCAGGGACCCAACAAAAAACAATATCTTTATGCTTGGTAAAGATGAGGCGTAGCCAAAGTTGGATACGGAGGACTAAGGGGTGAGGTGTATCAAATTTCTGTATAGCCTGTAAAGCACTAAGGGAGTCTGAGACAACCACAAATGATGACACAGGCATAGATGCAATACGGATAAGCGCTGTAAGGATGGCATACAATTCAGCAGTAAAAATACTAGCCGAAGATAGTAAATGCCCTTGTACGACGCTGTCCGGAAACACTGCTGCGAATCCTACGCCATCAGAAGACTTAGAGCCATCTGTGTACACAGCAATGGCATGAGAATGAGAGTGAAAGTGGTCAAGAAAAAGAGAGCGGGAAGCGACCGTAGACAGTTGGGCTTTCGAGCAAGGGAGAGAGAAAGAACAGACTCGAACAGCTGGAACTTCCCAGGGGGGTAGGGAAAAGTGAGATGCTACATGTACATAGAAAGGTGGTAATTGAAGAGAAGACAAGAGCGAATGAAGGCGAAGAGAGAAGGGACGGAGTAAACAGGGGCGGCGAACAAATAAAGAATGTCTACTAATATCAGTGACCATTCTATAAATGGAAGGATTGCGGAGATCATGAGAGCGTACATAGTAGCAATGGCAATAGGCATAGGCAATGGGCATCACGGCGATCGGATAAGGATGGAACGTTCGCTTCTGCATAGAGGCTCTCGACAGGGGAAGAGCGAAAAGCACCAAGGCATAAACGTAATCCTTGGTGATGAATGGGGTTAAGGCTAGAGAGAGTAGCAGGAGATGCCGCTGAATAGATCTGGTCACCATAATCAAGTTTCGATAAGATAAGGGTGGAATGTAGGCGAAGGAGGGTTCGACGATCAGCTCCCCATGAAAGATGAGCAAGGGTTTTAAGAAGGTTCAGCCGGCTGTGGCAAGTTGCCTTCAGAGAGGTAATGTGAGGTTTCCAGGATAACCTACGATCAAAGAGGAGGCCCAGAAACTTGACTGTATCACGTTCAGGGATACGGGAGCCATAGAGGTACAAAGGATGATCGGGGATGACAGAGCGTCTAGTTAAAGTAATTTGGTGGGTTTTAGTGCTGGAAAATTTAAACCCACGTGTGGTGGCCCAATTGGAAACACGGTCGACTGCATGCTGGAGAGAAACTGTAATAAGGTGACAGTCAGCGCCTGCACAGGCAATAATGAAGTCATCAACATAGAGTGATGACCAAATATTTGATGGAAGACTAGAGGCCAAATCATTAATAGCAAGGAGAAAAAGTGTTGTGCTCAGAACACATCCCTGGGGGACACCTTCAGCTTGGATAAAGTCCGGGGAGAGCACATTATTAACCCGAACACGGAAATGCCTGTCAGTTAAAAAGTTCTTAAGGAAGGATGGTAGATTGCCTCGAAGGCCTAAGGAATGGGCTTGGGCTAAAATATTATACCTCCAAGTTGTGTCATATGCCTTCTCAAGGTCAAAAAATATGGCAATAACTGAGTGGTTATTCACAAAGGCATTACGAACATACGTATCCAAGTGTAGTAAGGGTCTATGGTAGAACGTCCCTTACGAAAGCCATATTGACGAGTGGAGAGACTGTTGTGTCTCTAAATACCACACTAAACGTCTATTTACTAGGCGTTCCATCACTTTGCAAACTGCACTGGTAAGAGCAACGGGACGATAGTGGGAGGTTTCATGTCCCGTAGTGCCTGGTTTGCGGAAAGGGAGAACAATGGCGGATTTCCACAGCTGTGGAAGAACATACCCCATAGCTCCGGGACTAGTCTCGTTGCAAACCTTTGCACTTTCTCTAGTTTCCTTACATGCTTGGCTAGGTGAGGGTTCCAAACTGGTGCTGCATATTCCAATATGGGCCTAGCGTACACAGTGTACAGGGTCCTGAATGACTCCTTATTTAGATGTTAGAATGCTGTTCTTAGGTTTGCCAGGCTCCACTGTGCTGCAGCAGTTATTTGGTTGATGTGCACCTCAGGAGATGTGCCTGGTGTTATACACACACCAAGATCCTTTTCCTTGACTGAGGTTTGTAGGCTCTGGCCCCCTAGACCAGTGGTATTCATTGCGGGGCTCGCGAGCCGCCAATAACAAGATATGCAGGCTAATATTACCATGTCTAATTTTTCTCATTTACTATATTTTACTAGCAGCTCAGTACTATTTAATTTAGTTGAGTTATACTAACTTGCAGTAGCTGCGGCTCTCTCAATCAATGTGTTTAACCGAAGTGGCTCTCTTGCAAAAATTAGTGAATAACACTGCCCTAGACTGTACTCCATCTTTGGTCTTCTTTGCCCTTTCTCAATCTTCATGACTTTGCACTTGGTGGGGTTGAATTCCAGGAGCCAGTTGCTGGACCAGGCCTGCAGTCTGTCCAGATCCTTCTGTAGTTCTGCCTGCTCCTCATCCTATTTAATTCTTCTCATCAACTTCATATCATCTGCAAACAGGGATGCTTCGGATTCTATTCCTTCCATCATGTCATTCACAAATACCAGAAACAGCACCTGTCCTAGGACTGATCTCTGTGGCACCCCACTCGTTACAGGCGCCCACTCTGACACCTCGCCACGTACCATGGCTCGCTGTTGTCTTCCTGACAGGTATTCCCAGATCCATTGTAATGCCACCCCTGTTATACCTGCCTGGTCCTCCAGATTCTGCATTAATCTCTTATGTGGAACTGTGTCAAACTCCTTCTTACAGTCCAAGAAAATGCAACCTACCCACCCCTCTCTCTCTTGTCTTACAGCTGTCACCCTGTCATAGAGCTCTAGTAGGTTTGTGACACAGGATTTCTTGTCCCTGAAACTGTGCTGGCTGTCATTGATAAGCTCATTCCTTTCTAGGTGCTCCACCACTCTTCTGATAATTTTCTCCATGACCTTGCATATTATACACGTCAGTGACACTGGTCTGTAGTTTAATGCTTTGAATCTGTCTCCTTTTTTAAAAACTGGGACTACATTTGCTCTCTTCCATACTTCTGGTAGTTGTTCTGTTTTGATAGATGTGCTGAAGATAGTTGTTAGTGGTACACAAAGTGCTTCTGCTCCCTCTCAGGACCCATGGAGAGATGTTATCCAGCCCTATTGCCTTTGAGGTATCTAGCTCGCTTAACAGCCTCTTCACTTCTTCCTCAGTTGTATGTATTGTGTCCAACACTTGATGGTGTACCCCCACCTCTCTGCCTTTCTGGAGGTCCTTCTGTCTCCTCTGTGAACACTTCTTTGAATCGCATGTTGAACTCCTCACATACTTTGCGGTCATTTTTTTGTGACCTCACCTCCTTCCTTCCTCAGCCTGATTACCTGGTCCTCGACTGTTGTTTTACTCCTGATGTGGCTGTACAACAGCTATGGGTCAGATTTTGCTTTCCCTGCTATGTGAGAGAGAGAGAGAGAGAGAGAGAACGAGAGAGAGAGAACGAGAGAGAGAGAGAGAGAATGAGAGAGAGAGAGAGAACGAGAGAGAGAGAGAGAGAGAACGAGAGAACGAGAGAGAGAGAGAACGAGAGAGAGAGAGAATGAGAGAGAGAGAGAGAGAGAGAGAGAACGAGAGAGAGAGAGAGAGAACGAGAGAGAGAGAGAGAACGAGAACCAAGCTATTTTCCATCAAGGGAGGATGACACAAAAATGAAAACATTCATCATTTATTCAATAGTTGTCTTGCCAGAAGTGTGCAGGCATCACAATTCAAATGATCCTCTGAACTCCAACATCCCCGTCCCTTTTTCAGAGTGCAGGCACCTAACTGCCCACCTCCACACCTCTAGTCCAGCTCACTGGATTAGACCCATTGTGATTGACAGACAGTTGTATATAACAAAATAGAATTTTGTGCAAGGAAAAAAGTGTCAAATGCCGAGTGTGATAACACCTCCATCCAATATGGTTTGTGGGTTACAGAGATCTCTACATTGCTGTCTTGTGTTTAACTGAATTGAGAGGATGCCAGATGATTGAATATGTCTCATTCTTTTGCTTTACTGGGTTGGAAATAAGTAAAATATTTTTTTACAGACACTGTATGTCCAATTTTTCAATGTTTTTGTTACTTTCAACACTTTCCTCTTCAAAGTTCTGTGAATTTCCTTGTTTTACACAACTTCCCATATTCCTCCACCAACTTTGCAATTTTTCAGAATCTTTCAGAAGAGCTCTCAGTGACAAAGAACAATTATAACAACTTCCATGTCATACCGGATTTATTATCTTTTAATCCCAAACCTTTCCCAAACAACCTAGCATGCCATTATTCTCTAACTCCATCAATTATTATTTCTTTATTATTATAATCAAAACTAAGTGCTAAACTCAACAACCCCATCTAGCATTTAATAACAATGGTGACATCACACATCTCTGCTTTTACTGAAAATTAGTCCTTTTCTCTTACATACCCTAACCTGAGCCTCCCTCTGCATTAAAGCTCTACCATTTTGAGCAAATTATTCTGAAGAAATGTAATAACTAATTTATAATTATTATTGAAGTTTCTTTGGTTAAAAAGGCAAGGAGATGTATAACTTTTTATCATCCATCCTTCTAGGGACTGCAGTGATACCAGTGAAATTCTCTTGAACCAAAGAATTTGAGATACCCTCCCCTTCCTTGGATTGAACCCAATTGCTTCTCATTCCTCAGGTTTTTCACCACTCCATAAAAGTAATAATAATAATGTTTCTGTTCCAGTTAATCCTGCTATAAAGTCTCCAACTGTGGACCACTACCCATCACCCCCACATGAATATGAAAAGAGAAGCAACAAAACTGGGAAAAAAGATATCCAGCATGATTCAAACTACAGAGTTCAAGTGCAAGCCTGACTGAAGTGTGCCTTGGATGATCATGAATGCTGAGCTGATAAATTCAGCATTGGAACACTTTTCAAAGGACCAAGGAAGGTAAAATTGTGTCTCAGTACAAAACTGAATTAATAACAAATATTAGTGAAGTGAATGATAATGAACAAAATCATCTTATATAGTGTTTAAACTGCATTAGCTACAACACATGATATTCATGTGAATTATAGCAGATGCTCTTCTCACTGATACTAGAAATGATTGATTCTACATGCTGTAGCTATATCTCAAAAAAGTGACTTTACTAATGAATTTTTGGAAGTTCCAATGTTAGAATGACTAAGAGGTAGCAGTGTTGGGTCTGTTTACTCCAGGCAAGATTAACATATAATGTAACAATGGAATAAATTTATTTGTAATAATTTAATGCTGCATTATAAATAACTTGTACCTAATAGATACCTTAAGTTTTTTTTTTTTAACATGCTGATCGTCTCCCACCGAGGCAATGTGACCGGAAAAAAAAAAACCACTTTCACCAGTGTTTAAATAAAGTACTGAGGTGTATCTCTTCTGCTAAAGAACTGACTTGGCTCAGATTACATACTACATTTGTAAATTCCCACACTTACAATGGTATACATTTATGCAGATACACAGGTAAAAGTGTCAGGATATATGTTTGTCATTTAGAATCAATAATTAGTTAGTGTGATCATCATACCTGCGTGTGTGTGTGTACACACACGTGCGCATATATGCATGAGTGTGATATACCTATGACTGTTTTGAGTCTGGTATTTCTGTAGCCTGGCTGGGACTAGGCTTCTCTGGTGCTTGCCTGGTCAACCAAGCTGTTGCTGTTGGTGGCTCATTTACAGCCTGATTGATCTGGCAGTTGGTGGAGGTATTGATCCAGCTTCCTCTTGAAAACTTAAACACTTGCTCCAACAGTACAGGCATTTCTTGTATCTGCTGGCAGTAGAATGAATAGGCTAGTCTATGGATCTTGATACAGTGGTATTCTCATATTGTGCCTATGGTGCCCCTGATTTTCAATGGGTTCATATTACACTTCCTCCCATATCTCTCCAGTATGTTGTTCCAGTAGTAAATAGGGTTGGGATTAGGTCCTCCTGGATCTTCCAATTATATATTCTTTCTTCTTCTTTCAACACACCGGCCGTATCCCACCGAGGCGGGGTGGCCCAAAAGGAAAAACGAAAGTTTCTCCTTTCACATTTAGTAATATATACAGGAGAAGAGGTTACTAGCCCCTTGATCCCGGCATTTTAGACGCCTCTTACAACACGCATGGCTTACGGAGGAAGAATTCTGTTCCACTTCCCCATGGAGATAAGAGGAAATAAACAAGAATAAGAACTAGAAAGAAAATAGAAGAAAACCCAGAGGGGTGTGTATATATATATGTTTGTACATGTATGTGTAGTGTGATCTAAGTGTAAGTAGAAGTAGCAAGACATACCTGAAATCTTGCATGTTCATGAGACGGAAAAAAGGACACCAGCAATCCTACCATCATGTAAAACAATTACAGGCTTTCGTTTTACACTCACTTGGCAGGACGGTAGTACCTCCCTGGGCGGTTGCTGTCTACCAACCTACTACCTAGGACATTCTTTTATATCTAGGCCAAAATTTACTGCTCACAGCTTATCTAAATGAGCAAAGCTCATCATGTAGTTCTACGGCACAAACCACAAGCTCAAAGCTGTAGTACTACGGCATGGACTGCAAGAGTGTTAAATATATGTGGCCTCTAAAATGCAAAATAAGCCAGGATCTCAAACAGAACTGTTTATGCATATAAAATTATGCCTTGTTTGGGAATTAGAGATTAATGAAACCTCTAGGAACAACCCTCACTCATTTAGGATACTCCCAAATTTACAAGTGTTGAGTTCCTAGAGGTCTTCAAGGATTCAAAATTTGCAGATACTGTTCACTGAATTCTGTCCACATAATCAGTTTTGTTTTGGATTTGGGTTCATTTTGTGATTCAGAAACTATATCTCTAATTGTTTCATCCTGGTTAATATTGACATTCACAAGAAAGATGGAGAGAGAGTACAGCGGAACCTCAAATATAGAACTTTCTTTGGTCCAGAAGGCTGTTCAAGTGTCGCTACTGAATGAATTTATTCCCATCAGGAATAATGTAAATTAGATTAGTCCATTTCAGACCCTCAAAAATACACTTATAAAAGCACTTACAAAAATACACTTACATAATTGGTTGAGTTGGGAGCAGTTCGATTTTTGAGGTTCCACTGTACTAGAGATTGAGTAAATTCCTATGGTTAATATTCAATTCTGAGGTTTTGTGCCAAGCCAAAAAATGAAAAAACTCATGAATCATCAAAGCTATGTGGTAGGTCCTTTAGGAAAAATACTTGGTGATAAAAGCATAAGAATTTGGAAGCTTGTAAATTCCATGCAAAGATTAGTGAAATACATCTGTATATTATAGCATTTGTACATTACATATACTGTATAGCATTAAGTTTAAAATACACTTCAACTATTTGAACTCTGTGCCAGCTCTGGATTTCGCTTGCAATTACCGACTTTTTTCTAGAATTACTCAGAACTGTGGAAAAGTGGTTACTAGAATTTTGGATTATATCATTAAAATAAATGAATTCTCAAAATTGTATTAATCTGGAAGGAGGAGAAGCACTAAACCTGTAGAGGTTATACAGTGCCTCACATTTTTGAAAAGCATTGAACCCATAGGGGTCAAACAGTGCTGCCTGGGAAATTGGGAGGCAGTCAGGTTTAATTCATGGGGAAGACAACTAATTCTTTGAATCAAGAGTCCTTCATTGGCATCAAGAAATGGAAAAAAAAATTACTTATCAGCCATACCTGCCAGTGCATTATGAAATCCAGTAAAGATGTCTTGTAATAATTTTTTGTTGTGTCGTACTTTTATTTGGTATTCAGAGTGAAGAAACCAATAAAGAAGTGTGCTAAAATTCCATTGATAAGTTGGGTACAGTGCTGCTGCCAGTCAGGTAATCCAGTATGTGCTTCACAGATAAATGATTGCTAATGGTCAAACAGTTCAGTGAAAAATTGCAGCAAGTTCATTGCAGTATTATATATTTAGATTTTCTTTCAAAATCATGTTAGACACTTCAAAGGATAGTGAAACCTAAAAGAAACCAACTACTGATTATACAAAATGTTTAACATACTTAAAAGATTTTAACATATAAGAGTATTGAAAATGTTGCAATATTTATATACTTAGTATGCTACCACATTGGGCTACATGGCATAATAAATCAATAGCAAATTGTGCCTTAAATCAAAGTACTCTGCTGTCTCTTAGCTCTGCTCATTCCATAATTCAGCCCTTTCAATGTATAATTGACAAATTTTATTATATTGACAATTATAATGTACAAATAATTCTCACATGTTACACTAGAAAATGTATTTGCTCATTAAAATCTTCTTAATCAAAGGAAAACATGCCATTAAATTTCTGTTTATATACTGGATAGTAAAAAGTAACTAATTCCCTAGTTGCCACTATTAAATACACTTGCATCATGTATATATATAGTGTTATCATTATTAAAAGTGTTTTTGCTATACAGATACAGGGTGTTCAGAAACTCAACTCGCCCTTATATGGTGGAAGAGCCACAGATCAGCATGCAGTGTTTAGTAGATGGCATATAAAAGGAGCAATTAAAATGAGTGCTCAAGTAACATGATTTATCATGTACACTTAAGTGACAACCTTAATGACCAACATATTCAACAATTACTGTACAGTTATTTATCAATAAACATGCATTTTCCATGGGTTGCATCTCTTTTTGAACACCCTTTACAATACTGTATCTTCCCCTCTCTCAATAAATGATAGAAAATGGCAATATACTTATATTTATGTTAATGTGTTAGTCAACATAGTGAAGACACTATCTGCTGTACTATTTCATTACCTGTTGGCTCATATTGTACATATTACACAAACAATCAAACTCGGTCAAAAAGTGAAGAAATGACAGGTGCAAAACAAGCTTTTATTGTGACAATGTTTCATTCAATGTTATGAAGTCAGCAAAGAAGATATAAAATGCCCATATACAACCAGAATGGTGTTACAATAAATGCTTGCTCTACAACTGCATTACAGTCTGCAGTGCACAGGCGCCGACTGCCACCTAGCAGCTGTCCCTTTCCAGAATGCTATCAACCATGTTTCCCACCGAGCCATTAATGGGTTTAAATTTTCTGTCGCTAAAACACATCAGATTACTTTACAAGATGCTCTGTTGTCCCATTCATCATCAAGAGTTGTGTTTATGTTTAGGTGCTTTTTTGTTCCTTCCCTGTTGAGAGCCTATATACAGAGGTGAACATTCCATCTTTGCAAGATCAGCGTGATGCCCATTGTCTCCATTATTTTGTCTCATCTCGTTACCGTCATGATCCTTCTACATATAGGATGGTAGCAGATGTTAGTGGAAGTCCTTTGTTTGATTGCCACTCCTCTTTATTAAGTGCTTATAATCTTCGTATTCATTCTTTCTTGGCTTACCTTTATTTAGCCCCCCTCTATGTCCATCTAGTATTTACCTTTTCTCTCCCCCCTTTGGATTATTATTATTATTATAATCAAGGGGGAAGCGCTAAACCCGGAGGATTATACAGCGCCGGGGGGGGGGGGGGATGTGGAAGGCATTCAGGCTTAATTCGGGGAACTGGAGCTCAGATCCAATTCCCTAAATCAAGAGCCCCTCACCAACATCAAGGAACCTTCCTTGAGGGGCCCCCCTTTGGAAGTTACAATGATTCATGTCTGTTCTTCCCCAGTTCTGTGTATGAAAGCTCAATTATCTATTATAGCTTATCGATCCCTTTTTTTTTTTTTTTTTTTTTTTTTTTTGAATCATTTCCAATCTCATTCTGATGTCATTACAGTATACACCGATAGTTCTAAATCCTCTGAAAGTATCGAGCTTGCAGCAGTTTTCCAGACAGTAAACTCAGCTAGCATTTTCACAGCTGAGTTCTGTGCATTTCTCGTGAAGGTTATAGGTGTAACAATGTTGGTAGAATTACTGACAATATGTTAAGTAAAGGACACAAGTGCAACTAATGTGATATCTTATTGTGGCAACATTTTGCTCTCCAGGAGATTTATCAAGCTGTTATGGCTTGATAAAGCTCCTGGAGAGCGAAACAGTGCCACAATAAGATGTCACATTAGTTGGACTGGTGTCCTTTTACCTAACATGGCTAAAGGTATTGCAATCCTGACTACCTCAACATTCACAATAGTTTCAGACTCCTTTAGTATTTTACAGGCTATCCAAAATTTTTATGCTACTCATGCCATTGTTCTTTGTATACAACTTTGGTTGCATCACACTTCTAGTAAACACAGACATCTTTTTCTGCTGGGTCCCTTGACATAAAGGTAGACTGCTGCATGGTAAGCTATTCATGACCCTCATTTCAAATAGGAGTATTCCATTCTCAGACTATTTTACAGTAATCTCTAGACAACTTTGCAATATGCAATATGTAGTAGGTTGGTAGACAGCAACCACCCAGGGAAGTACTACCGTCCTGCCAGATGACTGTGAAACAAAAACCTGTAACTGTTTTGCATAATGGTAGGATTGCTGGTTTCTTTTTCTGTCTCATAAACACGCTAGATAACAGGGATATCTTGCTACTCCTACTTACACTTTGGTCACACTTCACAGACATGCACATGCATATATATATATATACATACATCTAGGTTTTTCTCCTTTTTCTAAATAGCTCTTGTTCTTTTTTATTTCTTCTATTGTCCATGGGGAAGTGGAAAAGAATCTTTCCTCCGTAAGCCATGCGTGTCATATGAGGCGACTAAAATGCCAGGAGCAATGGGCTAGTAACCCCTTCTCCTGTATACATTTACTAAAAAGAGAAGAAGAAAAACTTTATAAAACTGGGATGCTTAAATGTGCGTGGATGTAGTGCGGATGACAAGAAACAGATGATTGCTGATGTTATGAATGAAAAGAAGTTGGATGTCCTGGCTCTAAGCGAAACAAAGCTGAAGGGGGTAGGAGAGTTTCAGTGGGGGGAAATAATGGGATTAAATCTGGAGTATCTGAGAGAGTTAGAGCAAAGGAAGGGGTAGCAGTAATGTTAAATGATCAGTTATGGAAGGAGAAAAGAGAATATGAATGTGTAAATTCAAGAATTATGTGGATTAAAGTAAAGGTTGGATGCGAGAAGTGGGTCATAATAAGCGTGTATGCACCTGGAGAAGAGAGGAATGCAGAGGAGAGAGAGAGAGATTTTGGGAGATGTTAAGTGAATGTATAGGAGCCTTTGAACCAAGTGAGAGAGTAATTGTGGTAGGGGACCTGAATGCTAAAGTAGGAGAAACTTTTAGAGAGGGTGTGGTAGGTAAGTTTGGGGTGCCAGGTGTAAATGATAATGGGAGCCCTTTGATTGAACTTTGTATAGAAAGGGGTTTAGTTATAGGTAATACATATTTTAAGAAAAAGAGGATAAATAAGTATACACGATATGATGTAGGGCGAAATGACAGTAGTTTGTTGGATTATGTATTGGTAGATAAAAGACTGTTGAGTAGACTTCAGGATGTACATGTTTATAGAGGGGCCACAGATATATCAGATCACTTTCTAGTTGTAGCTACACTGAGAGTAAAAGGTAGATGGGATACAAGGAGAATAGAAGCATCAGGGAAGAGAGAGGTGAAGGTTTATAAACTAAAAGAGGAGGCAGTTAGGGAAAGATATAAACAGCTATTGGAGGATAGATGGGCTAATGAGAACATAGGCAATGGGGTCGAAGAGGTATGGGGTAGGTTTAAAAATGTAGTGTTAGAGTGTTCAGCAGAAGTTTGTGGTTACAGGAAAGTGGGTGCAGGAGGGAAGAGGAGCGATTGGTGGAATGATGATGTAAAGAGAGTAGTAAGGGAGAAAAAGTTAGCATATGAGAAGTTTTTTACAAAGTAGAAGTGATGCAAGGAGGGAAGAGTATATGGAGAAAAAGAGAGTGGTTTAAGCAATGTAAAAAGAGAGCAAATGAGAGAGTGGGTGAGATGTTATCAACAAATTTTGTTGAAAATAAGAAAAAATTTTGGAGTGAGATTAACAAGTTAAGAAAGCCTAGAGAACAAATGGATTTGTCAGTTAAAAATAGGAGAGGAGAGTTATTAAATGGAGAGTTAGAGGTATTGGGAAGATGGAGGGAATATTTTGAGGAATTGTTAAATGTTGATGAAGATAGGGAAGCTGTGATTTCGTGTATAGGGCAAGGAGGAATAACATCTTGTAGGAGTGAGGAAGAGCCAGTTGTGAGTGTGGGGGAAGTTCGTGAGGCAGTAGGTAAAATGAAAGGGGGGTAAGGCAGCCGGGATTGATGGGATAAAGATAGAAATGTTAAAAGCAGGTGGGGATATAGTTTTGGAGTGGTTGGTGCAATTATTTAATAAATGTATGGAAGAGGGTAAGGTACCTAGGGATTGGCAGAGAGCATGCATAGTTCCTTTGTATAAAGGCAAAGGGGATAAAAGAGAGTGCAAAAATTATAGGGGATAAGTCTGTTGAGTGTACCTGGTAAAGTGTATGGTAGAGTTATAATTGAAAGAATTAAGAGTAAGACGGAGAATAGGATAGCAGATGAACAAGGAGGCTTTAGGAAAGGTAGGGGTGTGTGGACCAGGTGTTTACAGTGAAACATATAAGTGAACAGTATTTAGATAAGGCTAAAGAGGTCTTTGTGGCATTTATGGATTTGGAAAAGGCGTATGACAGGGTGGATAGGGGGGCAATGTGGCAGATGTTGCAAGTGTATGGTGTAGGAGGTAGGTTACTGAAAGCAGTGAAGAGTTTTTACGAGGATAGTGAGGCTCAAGTTAGAGTATGTAGGAAAGAGGGAAATTTTTTCCCAGTAAAAGTAGGCCTTAGACAAGGATGTGTGATGTCACCGTGGTTGTTTAATATATTTATAGATGGGGTTGTAAGAGAAGTAAATGCGAGGGTCTTGGCAAGAGGCGTGGAGTTAAAAGATAAAGAATCACACACAAAGTGGGAGTTGTCACAGCTGCTCTTTGCTGATGACACTGTGCTCTTGGGAGATTCTGAAGAGAAGCTGCAGAGATTGGTGGATGAATTTGGTAGGGTGTGCAAAAGAAGAAAATTAAAGGTGAATACAGGAAAGAGTAAGGTTATGAGGATAACAAAAAGATTAGGTGATGAAAGATTGAATATCAGATTGGAGGGAGAGAGTATGGAGGAGGTGAATGTATTCAGATATTTGGGAGTGGACGTGTCAGCGGATGGGTCTATGAAAGATGAGGTGAATCATAGAATTGATGAGGAAAAAGAGTGAGTGGTGCACTTAGGAGTCTGTGGAGACAAAGAACTTTGTCCTTGGAGGCAAAGAGGGGAATGTATGAGAGTATAGTTTTACCAACGTTCTTATATGGGTGTGAAGCGTGGGTGATGAATGTTGCAGCGAGGAGAAGGCTGGAGGCAGTGGAGATGTCATGTCTGAGGGCAATGTGTGGTGTGAATATAATGCAGAGAATTCGTAGTTTGGAAGTTAGGAGGAGGTGCGGGATTACCAAAACTGTTGTCCAGAGGGCTGAGGAAGGGTTGTTGAGGTGGTTCGGACATGTAGAGAGAATGGAGCGAAACAGAATGACTTCAAGAGTGTATCAGTCTGTAGTGGAAGGAAGGCGGGGTAGGGGTCGGCCTAGGAAGGGTTGGAGGGAGGGGGTAAAGGAGGTTTTGTGTGCGAGGGGCTTGGACTTCCAGCAGGCATGCGTGAGCGTGTTTGATAGGAGTGAATGGAGACAAATGGTTTTTAATACTTGACGTGCTGTTGGAGTGTGAGCAAAGTAACATTTATGAAGGGATTCAGGGAAACCGGCAGGCCAGACTTGAGTCCTGGAGATGGGAAGTACAGTGCCTGCACTCTGAAGGAGGGGTGTTAATGTTGCAGTTTAAAAGCTGTAGTGTAAAGCACCCTTCTGGCAAGACAGTGATGGAGTGAATGATGGTGAAAGTTTTTCTTTTTCGGGCCACCCTGCCTTGGTGGGAATCGGCCAGTGTGATAATAAAAAAAAAAAAAACTTTGCAATTGTTGGCAACAATGGTGGCCTGAATTGGTCCACAATAAATTGCATTCTGTCAATTATTATAATCAAAAAGAAGCGCTAAGCCACAAGGACTATGCATTCTGTCAAACCTTGTTTGAATTTCTGGTCATCCTCTTAATGCTGTCATGTTTAGGAGACTACTCTCTCCTGCTTATGTAACACACACACACTCATCTTACTCATTGGTACCTCAGGAGAAATGCTCAGCACCACTCAGAGAATTATCAAGTTTCTTTGTTAGTTCACCATTTTGTAATAGTGGCCATACAGAATTTACTTACCGTGTCATCACTGCCCTGACGCACTTACTTTATCTGACCTCGCTGATAGCCCCACCTTTGATGCAGACTCCCTCTGACTTATTGTTAGCAACTGCTTTATTACACCAACTTTGAATTTAATTTTCCTTTAGCACTCCCCACTACCCTTGTTAACTCTGCCTCTTGCATACTCCTAACCCTCACTGGTCTCTGAGCTTCACATATTTCATCTTTAGTACATCCCGCCCTGCAGTGCTGTATGACCCTTGTGGGTTTAGCACTTATCTTTGATTGTAATACCAATCCAGTCAGCAATACAACTTTGTATTCTGGGTCAAAAACTGTTGAGCACAGAGGCATATTCCAGCATCTTCATCATTCCCATTCTGTTCTGGATTTTCTACACATGCTGTTAAAATGCATTATACATAATAAAAATAAGATTAACAAAAGTACTGATGGGAACAGCCTAAATGACAATAATGGTAACTTCCATTTTTTTTTTACGACCAAACAAGTTAGGTAAGGTATGACAAGTGATAGAAGCAATCTTGTAATATTCATGATTTCATGAAGAAATCATAAGTTCTTGGTTACTTAATCGATGTAATAAATACAGTGGTCCCTCGTTTTTTGTAATTAATCCGTTCCTGGAGGAGCTACTATAAACTAAATTTTCGATTTGCGAATCAATTTTCCCCATAAGAAATAATGTAAATACAATTAATCCGTTCCTGACACCCAGAAGTATTAAAACAAAATTTTTTTACATGAAATATACATGTAGTACATAAACAATACAATGGGAAATGATGAATGAAACATTAACAGCATAACACTTACCTTTATTGGAGATGCTTCTTAGTGAATGGGAGACTGGAGGAGGAGAGAGATTGGATTGTTTACAGTTTGGAAGGGGAATCCCCTTCCAGCAACACCTCAGGTACCAATTGCTTCTCTGGGGTTGCTTCTCTTCTCTGTTTCTTAATGCCACTAGGACCACCTTGAGAGTCACTCTAGTCCTGTCTTGCAAAGTAACTGTAGAGAGAGCTCTGTTTCTGGCGTCTCTTTAACACTTCCCTAAAATGGCCCAAGACTTTCTCACTGTACATATTTCTCACCTTCTTTACCACAGGCTTGGCACTAAGAGCTTTCTTTGGAGCCATGGTAGCTTAATTAGTACTTGCAAGCACTAAAATGAGTGGAATATTATGAAATATTTCGTAGGAGCACTTGAGGGGACCTTCACTCACTGGTAAACAATGCCAGACTGGCTGGGTAGGGAGGCCTCCCTGGCTCACACCAGTGTGTACACGTCCCGGACGAACTACTATTCGCGAGTCAACCCATGAA